GTAGTAGTAGTAGTAGTAGTGGTAGTAGTAGGTAGTAGTAGAGTAGTCGTCGTCGTAGTAGTAGTCGTCGTAGGGGTAGTGGTAGCGGTAGTAGTGGCAGTGGTAGTGGTAGTGGTAGTAGTCGTAGTGGTAGTAGTCGTAGTCGTAGTTCGTAGGGGTAGTAGTGGTACTAGTGGTAGTAGTGGTGGTAGTAGTAGTAGTTGTTGTTGTTATAGCTGTATTTGTACTTGTTGTGGTAGATGTTGTTGTCCTGCTGTTACGCGATTGCCGAAACAGGGGCCTACCACTACTAGCGTTACGACTTGTACGTATTGTGTAGTAAAGACACGATTGTGTAAAGAAGGGTGCTCCAAACAGACATCGGAAGTTTCAGACAGTCCCCGGTCTGTTTTGACCTTCACAAGATTGAAAAAAGAGTCTAAAACAAAACACATGTTTGGATGCTTTAGTCAGGAAACGTCAGTGACTTCTCACAAACAACGCCACATCAGCGATCTTAAGCGGGACACCTGCGATACACGTCAGGAGTCAGGGTCTGCTTTCTCGAGTGCATCTGTTGGAGACTCAACATGACATGACGGGTATAATCGAAAGTCGAACATGGTCCGATCCAATGTCCTGCCTTAGAGTCATTAGATTCACTTACCTTGGAGCAACCGTTGGAGAGTGCGTCGTTGGGCGCGGCAAGATGTTATAAGATTGTTAGGGTCAACATATCAGAAACAACAACATCACAAAGACGATACTGTTCCCACTCGTGCATGAACTAAAGCATCCCAAAAACTTTTGCACGAACTGATGGAACGCCTTTAGAGACCTCCAAACCCTAGAAATAAGACGGAATCAAACACAAAGATTTGGCGACATGAGGATTTGATCTGTAGGTTCCCTGTCGGTTCCGCCGATGATGATGCATCCACTCTCAACCAACAAACCCAAGAGTTCCTAGCCACATCCTGCGAAAACACTCCAACTCACATGTACGCAAGATTCTCTTCATACTGATCGGGTACGCTCAACAACTTTGTTTATTTTGCTGAACAATAAAATACAACAAGTTGTTTCATGCCAATCGCTTAAGAAACAAAATTAGAACAACATCATGTTTGACACGTTCAAAGTTGTGCAAACACGGTCTTATAGTCCTACTCAACTGCCTGTCACTCAACACCAGAGTTGCTTGTCTGCACAGCATTCGGAATATCATTCGGAACAGGAACACCTGCCCTGCAGGGCGTTCGCTACATCTGCCTTCTCAACGCCGTGTGCCAAGGCACCAAAAGGAATCCTCTGCCCAGGCCATGATGTATGGCATCTCTGTGATCTGTGCGCAATGGAAGGAGGATGAAGCGCGTTTTTTCTACGCGATGTGGCATCTTTCCCTTTTCAAGGTTTCTGCGCGGGGCCCATGATGACACCAGCACTGGCAAGAACAGGTTGTCTGTTGATTTACTTCCTTCAGCAACTCAAAAGGTTGGATGCTCTTGCTCAACAAAAACAGGAATAAAGGGACGTTGAAGTTGGACAAAAAACGCTGAGAAGCACGGGGGAGGGACCCTTCTGCAGTGGATCCAGATGATCGATATACAGGTGATGGATATCGCCCCAACCGACGAGGAGTGGGGAATTTGTCACTTGTTTGCAAACTTGTTTTTTACGTGTATAGCTGTTGGTCTTGGACCTTGTCAAGACCTGTATAGCTTCTCACATGCCTCTACCCCATGAGTTAGGGTGGGGCAGCCAATGATCGAATTTTGGTTAGACGTTTGGTGTGTCGACTGGAAAGACACGAGCTGCCAACAGGATCCATTGGGCCAAACGATCATGTTGCCCCGATGTGTCACAGGGCCCGGCTGCCATGCTGATTGGTAGAGACTCAGACGTCGGAATGTTCATTTTCGGACCTTTATGCATTTCTCGGCCTAGAACACCAAACAACTGAGCCGTCATTAGTGGACAATGCAACCATGCAATTATGATAAATACCCCAAAACTCAGCTTCCTACTTGGGACGGAAACTTGGGAAACCTAATCTGTCTTCATGTGTGCATCGGCCGCAACGTCCTGCAACCCAAAGGCCATGCTCAACCGCTGTTGAGGGGGGACATATCACTCTTGCAAGTTTTAAGCCATTTTAAGTTTTAAGCCTTTGCACCTCTATGTGTGTCTGGATGTATGTTTGTTCCCTGCAGTGGTAGCAAGGGAATTAGCTAGTGGCATGAAATCATGCACGTTGTTGGCCACTCATGAGCCACAATTGGTGTTGGTTGTGTGCGCGACCGCGAAAGGAACTGTGAACAGTATCAAATGGTTACTGGCCTTTCTACCTTTCAGCATGGAATTTTCAGCAGAGTCTCGTATGTTGTTCACGATCTTGAAGGCATTACTTTGGATGAACTTTGGCACCGGGCACATGGCTCAAAGAAGTGCGGCAATAGCCGCAATGGTGCCACACCTGAAGACATGTCCTGCTTTGACAAGACAAATGTGCCAGACCAAGACCAGACCAATCACTTTTGCAGGTTTTAACAAACTTCCTGAAACGCTGAAATCGCGGTGTATCAAATCGGCTTAACGCAGCTTTCACCCCTCTTTTTAAAAAGAAGCACGAAACCAAACCGATGCCGAAATTGAGTCCCTTCTTGTAACATTATGTTGCATGCTATACTCAAACCCTTGACTCAGAATATCTTATGGCACTTGCTCGAGAATACCTCTTCAGGAACCCGCGCTGCAAACCCTCTTCAACACTTGAACCTATTTCAGCATCTTTCTACAAACTGTTGTATTTGTATTTCTCCAAAACCTCAGTAGCCCTGCTCTGAAACCTTCAAATCCAATTATATACGTTATATATCAGCTCGAAAACAAACACAACATATGGGGTACTTTACACCAAAGACCCTCCAAAGGCTGTCCTTGAACCAGGGTTTTTAACCTGCTCTGGGAACACTTGTGTTTTTGATGCAAAAACACACTTCTATTAATGTTCATGGCTAGTTTGGCTAGTTGGTGATCAGGAACCGCTGAGGACACCAGAAACGGCCTCGAACGTCCCCGAGTCTACTGGCCGTCCCTGCAACCACACCTGAGGGACCACGAGCCGCCACAGCAGCGAAGCCTCGGATCTGGGTGATCAATATTGTAGGCGCGGGGTTCGAGTTTTTTGATCTGCTTTTCTGACCCAGAAATTACACCAGCATAGACCCAGATGGTAAGAACCCCATAGCTTCGCTATCTGGTGAAAAAGGGCAGGGTGGGCCTCATGTTTGTGAAAGGACCCGTCCGAAATCGCACTTCGGCCACGTCGGAGGCAGGTGCCCGATCTGTCGGATGTACACCGACCGAGTTGCCACGTGCAGCGGGTCGCTGCCACCGTCCTAGCGTCATGTTCACACGAGCGGAACCTGCAGGAGTGTTCCGGGCCCCCAAAGAAGAACGAGCATGTTTCCAATACCAAACAGGGAGTGTTGTAACATGTTGTAACATCCACTTCCACATGTTGTGATAAAGGAGGGTATTACGACCTGGCCACGGTACAGTAACATAGATGGAAGATCATGAAAGGTATCATATGGTCTGTCAGTCTGAATTGGCTAGCGGGTCAAACGATGGAGCCCCGAAAACGGTTTGCTACAGGTCACGGTTGGAGAACCCATGGTTGTCCACTTTTTCTGGGGCAAGTAACTTCCTTGCACCATTCAGTCTCGATTACGTCGACTTAAGGCAATCCAGAAGCCATCAACCTGCCGGAGACCTCCGTAGAGCTGATGCCCATGCGCAGCTTCCAATGCTCAAAGGCATCCACGAGCTTCTTCGAACTGGGCGTCCCAACCCACGAGCGCTCCGCGAAGCGCGCGGTGCCCCGGAAAAGCTCCAGCAGGTCCTGTGGGGACGGCGATTGCAGCTACCAGGAGCCAAGGGCATCGCTACTTGGAGCAAGGACGCTACTAGGGGCTCCTGGCCTTACTAGTAGGAGCAAGGACGCTACCTTATCGAAAAGGCCCCAGGTTGGGTGGGATGATGATGTGCACCGGCCACACCAAGCTTAGCGGCCAAGCCTTGCTGACAAAGCTGTGAACCCTGCGGTGGTGAGAGAAACCTCCGATTTGGCCCAACAAAGTCTTTGGATTCCCACTTTCTGAGATGAGATCCATCATGATCCATCTACCCTTTCCCCCAAGCTCACCCAGCAAGTCACTACGCAGGGATTTCAAGATAATTGAAACCAAAGGTGGATGTTTGTTCGACTCTCCTGGAACTAACATGGAAGTGTCGGGGGGGCACCCTCTGCATGTTTGGTTTTCAGAAAATGGTCTTCCTTTGGGGGCCAAGCCATCCACGTAACCAGGTTCGTTCATGCTAGTGTATATTGCTTTGAACCCTCTAGTGTATGCCAATGGTCCCTCTGAGCTCTGGGAATTAACTGATCTGCAGCCACGGACTCGAAGGGTGGCGGTATCTCCGAATGACCCCTGTGAGAACATACTGCACCTCTCGGATGAGTCTCATCACCGCTGATGGTAGATGATTAGTAGATGATTATGCTTTAGCAAGTTAGCAAGAGCATGCCAGAATCTGTACCAAAGAATGCATCCTACTCCTCTAGCCCCCAACCTCACGTTCTTTTTGCGTGGCCCTTTCAGTCCAGGAAAAACAGCGCTGAACGTGGCGCCAGCAGCAAACCTATGGCGGTTTGTGATCATCACAGCGGCGAATGGTCGACCTACTTCTTCAGAAACCACGTTTCGTTAATGAAAGGACACAAACTTCTTGAAGGACATATAGATCTGATCTTCTGAAGGATATGTTGGTTGGGAGATGTTGCTATCTGTTTTTCATGCATCCTATCTTCTCGCCCTGTCCGCGTTCGCAGGAACCCTGCAGCACCTGACAGGGACACGACGTTCAGTGGCGACGCCCGTGGTTCACGCGGCACGGGGACGCGGCGTGGCACACCCAGTCTTTGGGGCGGACTTTCCGCGGAGCGTGGCACGTGGCATATGAATCTGAAGGGCATGAGAAACCTTAAGCATCCTTAAGCCGTTAAACAATATCATCAAAAAAATATAGGACCCGTGTAAGACTTGATTGAACATATATCGAAGGATTTGGATGGATTTGGCCAATTCCTCCACCCCAAAACCTGAAAAAAGATCCCACCCCAGCTGTCCTTCCTTTGGCCTCACCATCCACGGGACGTGTCAGCCCACTGGTCCCAACAGCGCGTCCCCGGACGGACCAGAGCCTGCCAACGAGCGCTCAGCGGAGAACTTCTCCTTGTCGCGCCACTGGAGAAAGGCACCTGCGAACGGACAGGCACGGTCACCACTTGCGATGGTCTCCAGCCTACTTGCCATGGCCTCCAAACTAGAAGCGATCGCCTGAAAACCTAGAAGTTGGTATAGTTCTTGCTTTTCTGAGGTATTTGGATGTCAGGGGATCATGACAACATTTCCAGATTGAAGGCAGCAGGAGAGTGCTCTACTACTGAGGCTAAGCAAAATTCGCAGCAGTCGAGATTTGGACTTGCACACAAAGTGAAGTTGTGGTGGGCATGGGCACTGGGTGGTGCATGGCTGGTGTTCAAGTGCGTCTCCATCTCATCAGGTGTCAGTGGATTGCCACACGGCTCTGTTTAGTGGCGTTTAGGGCAATTGATTGTAAATGGGAGGGGGTCCGGGCCTGCAATGGATGTCCGAGCAGTTTCAACGTGTCACAGGAGCGCGGTTTCACGGGTGAAGGCTCGCTGGTTTCATGCGAGTTCGCGGGGTATGTGCACATCAGCTGTGATGCAATCCTGCAGTTGGCCATAGAGTTCTCGGGGGTAACTTAGGGTAGATCTTTGGGCAGGTTTTTTTGTTGCATGGACCTGTCATCAGCAAACCGCCACCGCGTTTCGCTCGGAACGGAAGTGTTCTGCTTGCGCTGCTTGCGGGATGAAGCTGCCTTCTTAGCAACGGCTGAGGAACAAGTCACCTCCTCTGCCAAAGGTGCTCGCAGGTCTGGCTTTATTCACGGAAAGGAAGTAAACACGTGAACAGTTTCGACTGCTGACAGGAGTGATGAACGGCGATCTGGATGTGAGATGTACAGTATTCTCAAGTCTTTGAGAGTGCGGCCATACAAGGTCTACGAAAAAAAACATCAAGAAAACAACCCTATACCAACCGCCGTTTACAGTTCTTTGATAGTGAAGGGGTTGCAAAGGATGAACCGGATGAGTTTGCCGGTTTGAAGAATCAAACGGAGATCCCTCGAACAAATGATTCAATCCCATGTATACCAATGTGGGCTCCCAGTCGCCCTGCAAACCCTCTTCTTGGCTTTTAGCTCACTCTTCCATCCTCTGACCAAGCTGCCTCCGCCATGCTTTTCACCAAGTTCCGCACTAGTCTAGAGATCACATAGGAATGAGGGCACACTTCTGTGAGCAAGCATATGAGACCAAACATGTGCCGGTTCATGCCGCATGAGTGAGCTATGCAACGATCCACATGAGCGCACCACACGGCGATGAAAGCACGTAGAGTGTAGAGAGCACACCACCGGTGAGCAAGCGCACGAGTGTACACCACACAGCTGAAAGCACACATCTGTGAGCAAACACCTGAGAGCACACGCATGAGGGGACAGGTATACGGTGTGAGTGAGTTAACATACTAGAGCTTACACATGAGAGCGCGCATGTTTGAGCACACGCTTGAGTCCGCTTGAGAGCATACATAGCAGAGCACATTTGTGGAAGCACACACAAACATGAGAGCACCCATGTCATGTGAGCAAGCACATGAGACCACATGTATGAGGGAGCATGGGTATGAGTGAGCGTACATATGAAAGAAAACGCGCACACGCACAAACACACATAATCACACATATGAGACCAAGGTTTTGCGATGTTTTTTGAGTGAAATGAGCACCCCTGTCAAGGAGCACCCCCGTCAAAGCACGCACACATTGGGGAAGACATCTGTGAGAGCGTAACGTCATGCGAGCGCACGGAGATGAGATCCTTCCGGCCGGTCCATAGGTGACCGACGAACGGGCCCAACGGCCGATGGATGAGCAGATCAGCCTGATGACCGATGTGAGGGAGCGACCAGCACAGCCACTTCCCCGAGCCCAGAAGAGAAAGAGCCTAAAAACCCACTGGTTTTTAGAGGACTTCAATGGTCATTCATCCTTTCGGGGTCATTTTACATGTCCATGATTCCAGGGAGAGAGAAAAGACACTCAATGGTTCGATGTTCTACGCTTGCCATCTCGTCCGCCCGCCTGGACAAACGCTGCAATGCTCCTGCGTTTTACGCACGGTGAATGAAAACAGAACGGCCCACGAAAAGGGTTTTCACGGTAAATCGGACTGCCACGTTCTGAAGATCCCGCGTTTTCGGTTGGTCTTTCGCTTTTGCACGAACTTTTTGCCAACTCAACGAGTGGGAAATTCAAGCTCTTATCTGTTCTGTCGATGAATGTGCAGCCCCGGCCCAGGACGTAGATTAGAAGGGATCGTATGTTTGTGGATAGTCCAGTTGTGCCAAAGTTTTGGATTGAATGAGTTCAATGTTTTATCTAATTCATTTATATAATTCATTTGACCCCTTATTTTAGTCCACCATAACTACCTTCGGGTGACGGTGGACGAGGTCGGTGTTCACCATCTTTTTGCCATGTTCCAAGGCACAAAGGCACCACAAAGACCAAACAAGAACCACGAAAGTGAAACATGTCCATTAAATTCGATTGACATTTAGTGAGGGTTTATTGAGATTTACCCTTATCCGTCCTTCTCTATGCCTATATTGAATGGTACTTTGATGTACTTTTGGATACAGCGTCCTGTGATGATGTCCGATGATGTCTTATCAGCACCGGCACCCAAACACGGCACAACGTGCGACTCGTGCGACTCATAGGGAATTAATGAGGGAATTTTCACCACCCTGATAGATACCGGATCCAGCCACCCTGATTGCTGACCATTGTGGCACCAGTCAAACAAGTGACAACATCCCAACCGAAGCCGTGGAGCTGCAGCTCCAAACTTCACCCCGCTAAGGTCTTTTTTCCACATCCCAACAGGTCTGGGAGTGTGGGCGGACTGAAATGATCCAAATCCAACAAGAACACAAGGCACAAATCCAAACCAAATCATGTCCAGTGTGTCATGTTTTGTGCTTTCTTCCAAATCCAAACCTAACACTGGACAAAAACACCACCATTTGGATCCATTTGGGTACCAACCATGTGTTTCTCCATGGTTTCTCACTTCCAATTTCCATGGCCCGACCCGTTGTCTTCGCCCGTTGTCTTCGCTGGACCGGATGATCTTCGTCTCCGGTCTCCTGAGACCAACCCGGCCGCCAGCAGGGCTCGTCCTGGCGTTGTCGACCGCTTCTTTGCACAGCGGACACGCCTCGTCCTCTTGGGTGGAGGCCATGGTTTGTAGGATTTTTTTTGGCCTTCATTGCTAGTAGGGGGAGGCCTAAGTACCTGAATGTCCACCATTCCGGTCTCGAATGGCCGTTCGGCCCAGCCCCACGGGAAGACCCGCCCCACCGTCCTGACCACATGGAACCGGGCGAACGGCATGGAGGTTGGACGGTCCCAAGACCGTGTTCCTCGTCTAAGCCCAGTGGTTTTCAGGTCCCATGTGGTGCTCGGGACCTGGGTGTACCGTTGGAGGCGTAAGTTCATCATGACCGCATAGCAGTCCCTTGGAGGAGTTGCTGGCCGCTCCTATGCTGCTAGGACCTCAAGGTGACCTAGAGCTGGACCATGCCAAACCTGGGTGTCCTGTCTGGAGATCCTGGAGAGTAGTCAGTAGTGTAGGGTCCACTGAATCGTTCTCCAGCTCACCTTCGGGGATACAAACTCAAAACCATGGGACCTTTATGGAGTCCCATCAACCTTTTTAGAGTCACTTAAGTGACTGACCTCAAACTGGGATATCAAGTTCGGTCATTTTGAAGAGCCAGGAAGCTGAATTGTTTACTGTACTCTGCGCCTTTGCATACTGTGTTGAGCACAGTGTTGGAGAGCGTGTTGTGGTTTTTGGTAAAGCATACCGTCACCGTGACCATCATTGAGCAACATCACACATGTTCGTGTGCAGCACGGCCCGACATCTTGATCTTCATCATCCTAAACTCTTAAAAAACACTGAGCAACTAATCAACATGTCCTTCGCTTTTGGGACTGAGCAAAGCAAAACAAATTTCTAAACTAACCCCCCTGCAGTGCTAGACTCTTACAAGTGCTAAAGCCTCAGCTAGACAGACCAAGTGCCTTTAGGAAGGGCCCTTTGACCAAGTCTTTTGGGAAAAAAACAGATCCAATGTGTCGAACACCACTCATCACTTGCCCGAGGTCCCGCCTCTGGACAGCAGCACATGGCGCCGTCACAACGTCTGGCACCCAGCGCCTGAGACTGAACCCGGTCAGCCGTTCGAATACCAATGTGTTCCTTCCCAACCATTCACCCTCGGTAGGGACCAAAAAACCGTCGACCAGATTTGGTAGTCTCATGCCAATGGAGCATTGGTAGCTTGCACTCGACCAAATGAGACGCATCACTCAGATCCACCTCTTTCTTGATACCAACGACTTTCTTTAGGTTTCTTCTGCGGACAAGAAAGTGTCGAAAGCATTCCAAGAGAGGCTTCGTGACCTGAAAAAAAAAAACAACAACTTGCTGTTTTTTGGGAGGGGGTGCGGGGGGGTACCGTTTTGGGATGGTCTCCTTTACTTTATAGGGTTCTTCCACCGGCGGTTTCTCGAAACTTCCGGCCGAGGGTAGGTGGCACGTGCCACCGGTCACGGGTCACGGGTCCGACGGGCCTAGGGGTGTGATGGAACGGCGGTGAACCAAACCGTCCTGCAGCTGCAGCAGCTAGCTGACAGTTTGGGTGCTGTGCTGTGGATGGGTATATTGGTTGGGTCTATCCTATTTCCTATTACCTTCTACTACCGGATGATGATGGTTTGGTTGCAGGCCTTGTTCAAAAATAGTGAATCATGAATCATAGTGATAAGAGTTGCCCGAAGTTCATTCAGTTCTCCTCGAAGTTTAGCAGTTCTCCTCGAGATTCATGCAGTTCTCCTCAGTTCTGCTGATGCAGACGTGCCTTCGGCTATGACCGGTCCCTCACTAGGTTTGTCCCGGGTCACAGCGGGTCGCATCTGCCCGCGTGGACCAGGTTTTATAGGCAAAAAGAAGAACCACACTTTCAAAGAACGACTGGGAGCGAGGATGAGTCCAAAGACATTACAGTAATGGGGAAGTTGATCTTCCCCTAGGGCTCCTGGCCCATATCCTCAGGTTCGGTGGTATTCGACCGCCCAAACCCACCCACCCCTGGCCCATCGAACCTCAGGAGGTGGGCCAGGAGCCCTAGGGTTCTGTGGGATGGAACGTTTTCTGCCTCAATTCCTCCACCCTGTAGGGTCCAGTGAGTCCAACGATCCCTTCCTGCCTCACAGCCCTCGGGTGGAGCGGGGCGTTGAGCCACAGCCGGTAGTGGAGCTGGTGCGGACGCGGACGCGGCGTCTCCAGCGGCGGCCTGCGACACAGAGCGAACTGGGCTGAGAATCGAGTCAGGTGCACCCCTTCCCACACCACCACTCAGCAGTGTTTGGTGTATGGTCCGTGCGGATTCACTGTTCGACACGTGGCACGAGATCAAACCCGCTATGACATGCGGCTGTGGGTGTGGCGGAGCAGGTATCAAATAGGGCGACCTGAAAGAAGGGAACTAGACCAAAACCGAACCCATTGGTTGGGGTCTGAGTCTTCCTACACCCATGCCAATACCAACCAATGAGCTTCGCTGAGGAGGGGAAGCTCATTGAGCTCCACGGCCCCTCCCCATTTTGGCCGGATAAACATGACACGTTGGTAAACATATTCCTTGGGTCTATCCTATTCAACTGTTGGTTCATCAAACCAGCCAACAAGGATCAACAGGTCGAGGTCGAGGTGGAGGAACAAAACCAGAACCATCTTGATTCCAATCCCAATTCACCAGCAGTGAACGATGATAGCTAGGCAGGCCTTTCTCTTTAAAATAGAATTGATCAGATCTTTGACCGACTGTTACAGGTATATACTAGGACAAAGCCAACAAAAGCCCTTCAATCGCGTATTGCATAGTGGTTTCAAAGTAAATGGCACAATCCCCAAAAGGTGGTATATATGGACCCCCATCTAAAAGACCTCTTGGGGGGTTGTCGTGCCATCTACTCTGAAACTACTGTAGCTAGTGGAACAACTTGGGGGATCACACGCATCACATCCATGGTTCTCCGCATGGCAAGCTGGGGCAATGCATCTGATCTTCAATTCCAATATAGCTTGGGTATGTATCCCATTACCAGTAACAGTGGATGATGATGATGGTTTGTAAAGGCCTTCCTCAAAAAGAGTGATAGTCATTTAGCGACTGTTACTGGTAATGGGCTACACCCTAACTGTATCCATCCAGTTCGGAGTTATCAAAGCCAGCAAGCCAAGTCCATTCAGACAAATCTCCTGTTGAAGGGCTCTCAAGGTACCAAGCTAGTGTTTACACCCGGCTCCCGAGCCCCACATGGAACCTGAGTTCACCCGGCTCCCGTTGGTATTCGGAACATCCGTTGTCCATTTCGGTCCATGGCGGTCGTCCGGTGTACCAACCGTGAAATTCAGGTGATGGTCACCATCTACATCCATCTACTAGACTATATCATAGCCTAGCTAACTCAGCTAACTCTGAGTCCACCCCAAAGCCACTCCAGTTCTGGCTGCCAGACGACTTCCGCACCTCACACAAGAGCTCCGCATCCGACGCTGCATCCTATGGAGATTGGGGCGTGCGGAAGAGCAAGCAATCTCAAAGGAAAAAACAAAACGCTCATTGCACGCTTCTGAAATCAAAGTTTGGTCACCAGGGCAGTTCAGCCGCCATGAAGGTTCTTGACCGGACCTTTCTTCAGAAGGCAGCAGGACAGGTATAGATGACATGGGGGAACGGGTTGGTGTTGTCAGTGTCTTCTTTGCCATCACGCTTTTAGAACGGTTTCTTTGTGCATCTGTGTTCACAATTGTTGACATTTGTTGCTGTAATAATGCTTATCTTTCTACACATTCCGACGACAGTTCTCCACAGTTTCCAATCTTGATCTGCTTTGCTCCAGATCGTGAGCGTGGTCTCCAAGAGAGGCTGTGCTCCGTGGTCTCTGGCTTCCGCGAGTCAATGCCCAGAAAAAACACAAAGTCCACTACACAAGGATCCAGGCGCCTCTTGGTTTCAGTCCGACAACCTGTCAAAGCTGCGGATCGTTGCATCACTGTCAGGGCTGTGCAAACCACTGGTAGCTATGGTTCAGTGATAACCCCTGGTTACCCCGCAAAGTGATGCCCTGTGGGATGCGAAGGGCCCCCCACAGTTCCAGTTGCAGGATGAAAACCCACGCGGAACCGTCAGAACTCGACACACGGAACTGGGACAGGTCCTCAGCCAGCTGACAGGTGCCTGCACAGGTGTGGATGTTTTTCTTCTTTTTCGGGGCTTGGGGGCCCTTGCGGGCTCACAACCCCGAGGTCCTGGGTTGAGCGGTGTCACTATGTCATGCCGTCAGTATGTCGGAATATTTCACTGTATTCTGTATTCCCATATTTCCGTTGTGTAACTGACACTCCGAGTACTTACAGTATATATGAAGTCACTCGGAGTACAGTACTCATTTCCGTTACTTTACGTTGCTTTACCGCCAGTGACTTCCACCGAGGCCTGCGCGGGGTGTCTTGCACGTCGCGTTTTACGAGTCGCGTCCAATGGCCAAGAGCGGATGGCGGATGGTGACATACAAAGGATATTCGTATATACCTAGCACTTCCAACGGGTGCCTAATGGAGACCTGTAAGTCGGGTGGGGTAGTCTATTGGACACCCATTGGATGACCCTGGTATATATAATTATATAGTTTTTGTTGGATATTCAAGAAGTCAAGGAAACACATGAACATTGTGAGTTTGCTTATTATATAGAATCAATCATTTGAGTTTCAGCTCAAGAGCACGGTCACCAAGTAACTGCTTACCGAATGTCAGTGCTGCACACCACGCGGTTGCCGAACAATTACACCAGTCCGAGGCCGATGAATCACACCGTCACACTCTTCATGAGTCTTCCAAAAGTCATAGAAATCGATGTCGAAGATCCCTAGAAATCGAAATTGTGAAAGTTGACTCTTGATTACGTACAGACCTTCTTGATTAAGTACAGCACTTGTGAAAGTACACCAACAAGACCTCCATACAGACCTCGAGCTTCCAAGTGATGACCCATCTCCATCGTCCGATTCAGGTCGTTCCGAGGGCCGAAGCCCCACCGACCGAGGTAACATGCAACGGTCAACCCAACGGTGGATGATGTTCGGAGGGATGGTCATTGTCTGCTTTGTGACCCCAGGCAGAATGAAACACATCAAAGATTTTCGTGAATTCCAGTGAATTCCAGTAGACAGATTTCTGTTGACTCCTGATCCTTGCTTTTCCTTTTTCATTCTGGAGCTCTTGGACCCAGTTGGAATTGGTACAAGTACCATGAGGCTCAAGGGAAGGGCACTTAGGGCACATCAGCAAGAGGCTTGACACAGAGGCCGTCCACTGGATCGTCTGTTGAACACCAAAAACATTAAAAAACACCTTGCTGACATGAAGACCGCCTTGACATGGTTTCTTTGGGTGCAGAAAAAACAGACACCGCCCGGTGTCAAACCACCCGTGGTGTGAGGAAACCCACCGGTGCCAAACGCGAACACCACGGGGCCCCGCGTGAAAGCGCGTCGTGGGAGGCGTGTCGTTGGCCCGCTGGCCTTGGCCAAGCGCTGCGAGCAGCACCGCCCAAAACCTGCGCAGCGAGCAGCTCTTGGAGAGGTGCCCCATGGGACGATATGACAGGTCACAGGTCAGGGGTCAGGGGTTCAAGTTGAGCTTTTCCAAGCATCAAAGAACTTGGAAAACCCCCAGAAAGAATGCTGGACTACGAACATGGACTTCATGGACCCCCAAACAAACATGACTCTCCTGACAAACCTGTCGTTGCTTTGCTGCGGTTTTCTGAACTCACAAGTCGAAGCTAGTCGACTTGGAGACACCAAGCAGGTGGGAAAAAAAACAACACGCAACAACCAGCTTGCCATCAACGTACTATATCGATATATAGATATTTTGCACTCTTTTCTCCATACATCTCTGGCTGTAGTGGGAACATGTTCTCCCATTCTTGCCCTGACCTCTCCAGCTGTTCGCACCTCTACCGGTTTGGGTGTGTTACTGGAATCGTTGGGTGTTCTTATCCGAAGCGCCTCTTTCTGGCACCGGCCGTTGTTTTCCAATTACGTTGCTTCCAATTTACGCTTCAGTGTCGTTATCTCTCTTCGCCGTGTATTCTACCACGGTAGCTCTTGCTTTGACGGCTCTCCCGACTTTCGGCTGTCGTGTGACACCAGGGCAGTCAGCCTCCGCCGGTGGGCGGATGCTGCCGGTGAGCATGTGCCCCAAAAGCTCCTGCTCAAGTTTCTCCTTGAACTGTGCAAAAGGCATTGCACAGAACGGGCTCTTCTGCTCACTCTCAGAGCTCAACATAGCGCAGGCCAAGCTCACATAACTGAACTTCGTCGCAAAGTCCCGCTGCTTCAGAGTCGTAGCCAAGCCTCGAAAGGCCGCACCTTCATGCGTCAACTGGCACAACTTCAGGTGGTCCGGAATCTCCCACGTCCTTTCGACCCTGGGCGCCGAACGCACGATTCCTAGCAATGCAGCCGCCAGATAATCCATCTCCTGGGGGCCGAACGCTGCATCCAACGACCCTGGGCATTCCGCGGAGCGCCGCTTGCAGCCACGGAGCCTGGGCATTTCGCCGCTCGCTCCCAAAAGCGCGGGCCCGAGCGGTACCGAGGCGGTACCGCGCATTGTAAGAAAGGGCCGAGCCGTAATGAAGTGGTACCGAGGTGGTATCGCGCACTGTAATGGACGGTCCGACCCAACCCAGATTGCAACCGCAAAAACCCTATATAGTGCGTTGCAAGGGAAAATTTGAACGTTGAGGCCGCGCAATGGCCTGGAGCCACCCCGGAAGCGGAATTTCCAAGGCGCAGCCTGAGTAGAGTTTCGATTGATTTCAAGCCGCCGGGATGCGCTACTTCCCGCCCCCTACCGACTGAGCAGTTTCCCACCTTGTCCCCACCCAGGGCCCAGCACGCCCCCAATAGCTGCATGTGCACTCCACCCACATAGGCCCCACACAGTCTCGAAAAGAGAGAGAGAGACAGAGACAGAGACAGAGAAGACAGAGACAGAGACAGAGACCGACAGAGACCGACAGAGACCGAGACGGAGACAGAGACAGACACGGAGACAGCGACGGACAGACAGAGGAGGGGGAGAGAGAGAGAGAGAGACAGAGACAGAGAAGAGAGAAGACAGAGAAAGAGACAGAGAGAGAGCGAGAGAGAGACAGAGACAGAGACAGAGACAGAGACCGACAGAGACCGAGACGGAGACAGAGACAGAGAGAGAGAGGAGAGGGAGAGAGAGAGAGACTGGACCCAGCCCTACACTGCCCTACACATACCCAACTGGGCCGGCGCCCGGCTGTTGGGCGTAAGCCTTTAAATCCGGACGCCGGCCACGCGCCCGTGGCATGCCCGGAGGGCCTTCGGTGGTAACCGAATTTTATATACGATGCCCCTGTAATTTACAGGGTTTCGTGTGTGTGTGAGGTATAAAAAACACTGTGTTTTACAGGGTGTTGGGCCCCTCGGCGGCCGAGAATTTCATCTTGGCGATGTTAAAAAGTGATGTTAAAAAACGTAGGTGTTTTTCCATGGTTTTTGCTTTGCGGGAAGGAAAAACCATAAAAAGTTGCATCGGAAGATTTTTCAACATAAGTTGCCTAAAACATATCCCCAAAATAGGCCCAAGATAGCCAACATATCCCCAACATATGCCCAACATAGCCTCCAAGATGGCTCAACATAGGGCCAACATAGGCCAACAGGGGGCCAACATACGCCAACATAGGCCCAACCTAGGACAACATAGGCCAACAGAGGCCTAACATAGGCCAACATAGGCCCAACATAGGCTCAACATGGGCCCAACTTGGCCCAACCTAGGGCCAAGATGCGCACCAGATAGCTTAACTTTGCTCGGTAGGGCCCCCGTCTCCGACGCGGAGCAGTTTCCCACCTTGGCCCCACCCAGGGCCCAGTACGCCCCCGCTAGCTTAACGTGCACCCAACCCAGCCCTACACAGACCCAAGTGGGCCGGCGCCCGGCTGTTAGGCGTAAGCCTTTAATATGGGAAACATAGCCCCAAGATGGGCCAAGATTGCCTCCAGATGTGGCAACATAGGCCCCACACAGTCTCAAAGAGAGAGAGAGAGAGACACAGAGACAGAGACCGACAGAGACCGAGACGGAGATAGAGACAGAGACAGACAGAGAGAGGAGAGGGAGAGAGAGAGAGAGGACCCAGCCCTACACAGACCCTAGTGTGCCGGCGCCCGGCTGTTAGGCGTAAGCCTTTAATATTATAGTATATATATATTAACCCTAGTCACAAATGGACAAATACAACATAGACCACACCACCCAAATATGATCACTTGTGAAATGTTCAAAGGTGGTTGAGAATTCTCATGTTCCTCTTCTGGGGCTTGGTCTATCCGTTTCATGTTGACAAAGCCGCTCCGCTGGCCGCTCAACGCTCGTGAAAAACCGAACGCGAAACCAAATACTGCTGAGCCACAGCCAACATCTTGTCACGCCATCGCTCATGAGGTCAGGAGTCGATGGGTTTCTCTGGCTCGGCTTGCGCTCGCTGTTGGAGTGCTCGGCTTGCTGGTGTTGCATTGTGATACTTGAGGGGGTGACCCGACTGGAAGCTAGGGCAAGTCTTAAAACCCTGCAGTTGTGGGAATACGACAATCTGACTCTAAAGTGGACTCTACCAGAGATTCATCGTGGTCCAGTAGCGTTTTTGAGATACTTCTCTATAGAGTACCATTCACGCCAAAGAGATGGTACTGAATCTCTAAAGTTCTTGTCCGTTTTTGGTTTCGTTTTCCGGGTCGTTTCAGTCGACGTCTCAGTCTAGGTCGCAACAGTCGTTCAACTCCATATGATTCCTTTCCTGCTTCGGTTTTCTGTTGCTGTTCGTTGAGCTCAAAAAGGCACCGACAAGTGCACGAAAGCGATCGGCGAATGGACAGAGTTGGATCGCCCGAGACAAACGGCCTGAAGATGTCGATTTAGGTTTTAAAACACAACTGGATCCAATACCCAAACAGGACCTGTCTGGGACTGAGATGTTGGAGTGGTTGACCTGGGGTCATTGTATGTATGCAACTTCAATGATATGATAAACATCAAATTGTTGGGATGCAACAGCCGCTATATGTCATCCACTACTATGCAAATGCCTTTGTTGCTAGAAATGACCTGGACACGATCGGGAACTGAGCTTTCTCTTGGAGGCACAGGTGGTGTCGATTCAACTTCAGTCTTCGTCGTGATCATGGACACATGGGAGGATTCGCAAAAGTCCCAAAAGTACCAACCACGATGATGTGGGTACTAGGCATGCGATGATGTACCATTCCTGAGAAGGGTACTTGGGAGACTAAGGTGCACAACCACACTATCCATTTGACATTATGGTGACAGGGAAAAGCACAATCGATCTGAACCAATGCCAACATCACAAAGACCAACCCGCTCCAAGTCTGCGTGTTTAAAAGTGTCGTTTTCATGGTCCTTGCCCAGATTTGGAGTCAAAGTGAAACATGAAGCATTTGATTTGGGTGTTCATTCTCAAGCCATCTCTCAGAACAAACAAATTGAATCTACACCAGGTGGCGGCAAGAAAGGCAAGCACAACCATTGACATGGTGTTGTCGTTCTGTGGACCAACAAACAGGGAACAGCAAAGTCGAAACACCGTCTGAACTCTATGTTTGGGGCCATACATGAGAAGCTGATTTGTTCTCTGCTCTGCAAACACCAAACATGGAACCTGCAAATCAAACTAAAACAGGCCTTGGACACTCATGTTGAAAAGGCAATGAGCCCTGACAAAACCCAAAACAGCTAAAGGTGGGGACCTGTCCATTGTCAACCCAAATAGAGGTATGCCAAACTAATCAAACCCTCAACCCATGCTGTCCACTGTCCACGGCTGTCCATCAACCCATGATGTCTCGCCAGACGTTCGAGATCGGAGGGTCCCGAAAACCTCCCCCTTCACTTCCGCCAAGATCATGTCCGAAGGTCTGTAAGCCATGGACGAAATCAATGACCATGAATCAAAGGGTATCAGGATTTGGTGAGTGTGTTACCATTCGAAAGACCGTACCTCATGTGGAACTCAGGAGAAACAACCCTTTGGTTTCAGGTTCAAGGACCAAGAAATCATCAGGGTTGGGCAGCCGGTCCGATGGGGCATAAGTTGAACTGCCAAAATTCCATTTGTCTCAAGGACCAAGTCCACCTTGCGCTGAGCTGGGAGAATATGAAACAAAAACATCCAGAGCCTTCTCAGCCTTGGCTTTCTGGTTCTTCTCTTCCAATTTCTCTTCCCGTTCCCGCCGGTCTTTCAACCTTACCAGCCGGTCGTTTCGAACGAAGGAACACAGTTTGGAATGTGGAAAGCCTAGGGCTTTCAGGTGCTCAGTGCGAAGGGGTATGTGCTTTGTTTTACAGATTGGATGGACAAAAATTAACCATGTTCATTTATATTATATACATAATTGATTTCACAGTGAAATGTTCCCCCTTCTGCATGCCTGATGTTGAGGTGTATTTCAGCAGGCCACGTTTCGGGGCTTGTCATGCCTGCAGGCAACTGCGTGCTCTTCAAAGACTCTGCAACGACACTCCATCAGGTTGACAAACGATAGACATGCAAAAGAAACACATATGTTGTTTAATGACAAAGTATATACGGATCCTATATACGGTATTTACGTGTGTTGTCCATGTTTAACAGCTTTACCAACAACAAGAACTGGTCGTCTGATGATCTCGTAACCATAATCCCGTTGCATTGATGGACTGTATTCCTACTCAGCGTAGGGGAGGCCTGAGCTTTTTCCTTCTCATGATAACCCGGCTTCCACGCTCAGTTGCAAGCCAGGGTGCCATCCTCTCGTCAACCGCGGAACGCCAACTACCGAACTACACTCACGGGCTCAAAGGCACAAACCATTTGGAACATATGACAATTCTCCCATTGAGACCCACCAGAGTCTGTGCTGCTCATGCACTGCGCAGCTTGACCCGGTGCACTGTTGTCGACCGACCCGCCCCACAGGACTGCGCATCCCGACGACATTTCACCTCCCTCCACCTGGCCGTGGAGATGGTGAACGCATCGGTCTCGAGTGCGAACTGGGCACACGAGGAGGGATAGTAAGCCCTTCTTACTACTATAGCTTCTTTGCCACTAGTAGCGATGCCAGGAGCTACTTATACTAGTATAGCATCCGACGGATCTGTTTGTAGCGATGCCCTTTGTTACGTTCGTAGCTTGTTTGCCACTAAATGGGGAGTAGAGGCCCTCGGGATCCAGTCATACCTTCTCAGGTGATTGGAGACACTGTTATGTAGGTGCCACCGAACCTGAGAAGGTACGACCGGATCCCGAAGGGGGAGTACGAGTTTGTAATGCGTTTGATACGAGTTTCATCTAGTTTCCACCAACAGCTCGAGTCTACACTTCCGTCCGCTCCTTCCTCCAAGCCACGGAGGAAGAAGTTTTGGAAAGTGTCCAAAAGGAACAGCAAACAAGGTTGGTATGTATAAAACATGGTTAGTAAGTCCCTAGGAATCACAACAGAAAAGGATGAACATGACCAAGAACATCCTGGCCCCTGGCCCCCTACAAAAGAAACAGGAAAAACATGCAGAAACAACACACAAAGTACGTTTTGGTATTCGCATCCCACGTGGTGGTTTCAACCGGAAAGACCGGCCAAAAAATATGTTAAATGTTTGTATAGTCACTATCACTATGTCACTATAGTCATCTGGATGATTGGTGATTCCAGGTCAAAGCAACAAAATAACTGTTGTAAGCAAACACAAACGTCACAACAGTACACACAAGAAACAAACACTGGCACGAATTTCCAACAAAACAGGCACCTGGGCCGCAGCACCACACTACGCGGCCGCACCTTCCTCCACCTTCCACGCGCGTCTTCTCAGTGTCGCACCTTCCTCTCCAGCGTCTTCTTCCGGGCCACTTTCCGCGTGCGGCGCACCTAGTCGGATCATGTCGGATCTATTCTTTCTCAGAAAGTAAATTCTGAAGGGTCAGAAACCATGTCGATGTTCGGGGTCATTTTGCGAGCAAGTTGGAGATGTTGAACAAAAGAAGACGAGGTTGGGGTCATTTTTGAGCAAGTCAACATGGGAGTGTGTTGGGAATCGGTTTGTGGAAAGCACATCGCTGAGCGGCTCCACCAAAAGAAATTGAACAAAACAGATCTCTGCCTTCTGATTCCCCTCAGGGCTGCTTGACAGGTAGCAACCGCTTGGAGTCACATTTCGTTTTCAGAGCGAATCTGGACACTCAAAAAAGCGGCCCCAAACGCCGGCTCCATGCAGGGCCAAAGGGTATCTTACAGGCTCAAGGAAGGTCAATCACTGATACCTCGAACAGGGCAGTGCATCAGGCACTTTCAGGAGAGAGCTTCACTGATCTCTTTGAGGGTCCGCCGCAGCGTCGGTGATGTTACGCTGCATGGTGGCATGGTGTGTGTGTGTGTGTGAATCTTCAAGAGATAGAGACACTATGCAGGGGCTAGCCACCTGCTAAACAAACACCTGAGAAGCTGCAAAACGAAAGCCAGCGCTTCCCTTTCTCGACAACTGCGCGTCGAAGCAATCAAATGAGCTCGCGCAGCCGCTTGCGGCCGCGTGTCAAATCTGCTTCATGTCTTGTTCTGCCCACACATAGGTAACCATGCAAAAGCAAAAAATGCACGCTTGCATCACCACCCGCTCCAAAATCACTAAAACATCACCTCCAAGAGTTTACGTATACCTTTCTCGGGCCGCCCCCCCGACCCCCGACCGACTTCACACATAGATAATTCCCATCCACAATCAGATGAAGCAAAAGCCAAACAATGCACCAAAATTCGAGGTGGCCTGGGACCAGAGGCTCGCTGCCCGAACTATTATATGTTCAGGCCACCTCAGAAATGAAGATATGCGAAGCAAGGGTCCTGAGGTGTCTCTGTGACAAGGCTTTTGTTAAAACAGACAGTTTTTCAAGCTAAATTCAAGGTGGCCTGAGACCAGGGTTTGCACCCTAAAACACTCTGTTCAGGCCACCTTAAAAATGAAGGTGTGCGAAGCGAGAGCAGAGGATGCACATTGTCCTTCTGCTGCTTGAATGTGGCCTTTTGTTTACTTAAAAGTTCAAGACCTCCCAGCTGTTTCCACCTCTTCGCTTCCCAGTCTTCCCAGGGTTCATATAGGGAGCCAGGCCATTTTCAGAATCTTCTGGATTTGAGCTTTTCGAGTTCCTATTGAAGGGTATAGTTGGCGAGTGCGTCACCACCCGCTCCAAAAGCATCAAAGCATCGCCCCCC